CCAACTCGGATTCCAGCAGCCCAGCCTCGCAAAGCGAAACCGCCGCAGACCGCAGTTCAGCAGAGTATCGGCGCCCTCTGTCGGTCCTTTTTTGTAATCACCGAGAGGCGCCAAGTCCTCGATACGTCAAAAAGCCGCCAGCTTTCTGGTTATTTTTTTTAAGCGCGCGTGGGGTGGGCACCTTGATGAATGACCACTTCCGGAAGACGCCCGCTGCTTCGAAGAAATTCCAGGTGTCGATTGAAATGAACGGGAAAGAGCGCGCAGGCTTTTGTTCGCTCTGAGTTAAAGAGATCTGGGTTCTCTTCCGGTTGTGATTATCGGAACCAGTGTTCCCTCTAAGGTGAGTGAGTGTGAGCCAGCTCACAGTTTTTTAGCCTCCGGCTCACACATTTTTGTCTTAGCTCAGGAAGGACGACTCCAGAGCAAACGAATTGATGGAGCAGCCAAATCGCTCGCTCACCACTTTAATGCCAGCAGCTCACAAAGTAGAATTTTTGCTCACAATCCTCCACGGCTTAGAGGGAGCATTGACGTACAGAAGACCCAGCGACGCACCTGTCGAGGCACGGAGGAGCTGGTTCAGCCACATACACCCCCAAGGCATTCCCCCCCCCCATGTGCTCTTTGGAAAAAGCCAATATTTTTTGTTTCCAAATGCAGTATTTTGCTCTAGTAAAGGTAAAGGTCCGACTCTAGGGTTGCGGTGCTCATCTCCATTTCAAAGCCGAAGAGCCAGCGCTGTCCGAAGACGTTTCCGTGGTCATGTGGCCGGCATGACTAAACACCAAGGCGCACGGAACGCTGTTCCCTTCCCACCGAAGTGGTACCTATTTATCTACTTGCAATTTCTTGCTTTCGAACTGCCAGGTTGGCAGGAGCTGGAACTAGAGACGGGAGCTCACTCCGTCATGCGGCACACTCGGGTCTCGAACTGCTGAACGACCGACCTTCCACAGCCTGCAGTTCAGCGTCTTAACCACTTGAATTACCAACATGATTTTCTTCCTGAGTGCTACCGAATGATACATCTACACCAAATTCATCTCTCTCCCCGCCCTTCCCCGATCTCTCTG